CTGTTGAAATCATACTCATCTTTCATGGCACACTCCAACAACCAACTCATTCATTCATTCATCCATCCACTCATTTAAGAGATTAAGATATATTTACCGAGTCCAACAATGGATTAGTCAGGCACAAACAAGAGAGATGGGTGGCTGGCATCAGGGCATCCCAGTCAGGAAGACACAGTGAGGAAGGACACCCCTGTGGCTGGACCATAGGAAGGGAGGAAGAGTTATATGAAACGAGGTAGAAAAGTTGGGCAAGAGCCAGACCATGTAAGAAATTTGGATTTTCATTTTCCTAAGAGCAATTGGAAGTCACTGAATGCTTTTTAACTATGGTAAAGCCCACTTTATTTTGAAAAGATCACATTAGCTGTTAGGAAAAATTCTGTGGAGGAAGAGTAAAAGTGGGAGAAGGGAAACCAGCAGTAGTCCTGAGTAGAAAAGGTGATGGTTTGACAAGGTGACAGTGGGGGGAACTGAAAATGCGAATGAATTTGAGCTGTATTTTGAAGGCAGGGCTGACTGGACTTGGTGACAGAGTGGATGAAGGAATTATAATGACAAAAGGAATTAAGGTTTTGTTCTCAGCAATTAGATAGCAGTGTTATTTAGTAAGATGAGAAAGGCTAGGGAAAGAACAGGTGTGTGAGAAAAAAATAGGAGCTCAAGTTTTGCCATGTTAAAAATTGCACATGAATTGCTCAAGGCAGCATTATTCGTAATAATCAAATACTGGAAGCAAACTGAGTGTCTATCAACCGATAAATGAATAAACAAAATGTAGTATATCCATACAGTGGCATGCTCTTGAAAATAAAAAGGAGTGAAATATGCTGATTCAGGTTACAATATGGAACCTTGAAAACCTTACACTGAGAGAGAGAAGCCAGATGCGAAAGGCGGCATGGATGATTGAATTTAGCGGCAATGTCCAGAACAGGCAAGTCACACAGACAGAACGTCCATCTGCAGCTGCAGATGAAGGGCTTATACATCACTTCTTTCTTAGGAAGTGGGAGTAAAGGGTAGGGGGAGTGAAGCAGGGAAGAGGGCAGAGCTCAAATCAGGATGCCTTGTAGAATCAGCCTCAATAGTACTTGTGTGTGTGCTTGACTCCAGGGGCCCTTCCCCAAGCAGGTATCTAAGTATCCAGGACAGTCTGTCTGCAGAGCAGGTGGGAAGAATATATCGACGCCCTTCTCTCTGGGTCAAAGACAGGCATTGACTCTCTATACTCCCGGATTATATATGCATGCGCGCCACATAGGCATTCCAGGGTCTTTTCCGGTGGTAAAGTTGAAATCCTTGGTAGGGAGGTAAGAGATGTCTGCTGAGGGAATGAGAGAAGCACCATTATTTCATACTGGCTTGACATGGCTTGGAACCTATAGAGATGATTCCTGCAGGAGCTGAAAGGCCACACAGTAGAGCATAAGCCCTGTCTATAAGATGCCCATTAAATCTCTAAGTGAATATGCCAAGCAGGCCTCTTTCTTATTTATTCCTCATAGACACTATAGTGTTGATTCATTTAAAAAAAAATGCACAAATAAGTCAAAATTTGCTGTTAGAACTGATTTCTTTTTTCTTAAATCAATTATCATTGAGGAACTTTCTTTGAAAATTAAAATTTATGGCAACCTTTCCCTCAATTAGATTACATAGTGACTAGGCAGGTGTGGAGGAAAGAAGAGAAAGAAAAAAATGAAACTATCAAGTAATCTATAATCACGTATAGATTGATAGTGAATGAATTACATAGAAAGCTATATATTAAAATTGTCCTGGATCAGAACTATTTTAAATTATACTTTCTTATAATTTTAATAAAATAGTAAACCATACTGTTTTAGCTATACTCAAGTAAAATTATGTTAGCCATAAAAATAAACCCTTTTATTTCTGTTATCATCGTATTATCTAAATATTGGAAAGTGTGTTTAAAAAATAATTAAAATGTTTTGCAAGCTCTCTTAGTCTGTGTAAGGACTAGAAACACTCTTTGTAAGTCATTCATGCTGTTCTACAACAGTGTGGATTTCCTGCTTCCAGGTACATAGCAGCATTGCACTTATTGAGCCCTGAAGTTAGGAGTGGGTGTGGAACTTGCTTTAGAGAATGAGAAGAGTTCTGAAGTGATGCATGATGTTTGGTGGAAGTCGTTGGGAGCAAACATGTGCTGTGACACAGTATGTGTCAATGAGGTATAATGACAACTGTCAGCCTAACGCTTTGGATGAGAATGACGCCCATCCAAGATACCAACCAACCTGAGAGGGATGCAGAGTGGGAGTATAAAATACATCCTTCCAAGCATAGAAATTTTGGGGGGTTTATTTTAGCAACCAAATTAGCCTTATTTTATTGATAAGTTCTTCAAGAGAATAACAAAGTGATTTATGACACTTCGCAAGCTGAAACCTTTTAAAACATTAATGACATATCAAAGGCGTTACAGCAAAGTTGTTAAGAGCATGGCTTTGAAGGTAGATGGCATGGATTTGGAGCTCATTTCTGCTAATTATTGACCATGTGACATTGAGCAATTCACTTAAACTCTCTGGCCTCAGTTTTTCTTCTAAATAATCAAAACACCCACATCATATGATCATAAGTATTTGTTAAGTGCTTGGAAAAATGCATAGGAAGTCCTTTCACTATATATATAGGTAACATATATAAATAGTAAATATAATGTGTTTAGAACAGAGCTAGCACAGGGTAAGCCTTCCACGAATATTTATTATTACTGGTATTTAAAATAAAAACAAATACTGAATAACAATCAAATATTTGGCTGAGAATTTTCTCTGGGAAAGCCTAATAGGAAATAGGAAAAAGAACAAGCAAAAGACAGGTGAAAAATTCATAGGTGCGCTCAGGTGGCTCTACCTCTGTGGAGATGCGGGCCACACTGCTGTTACTTCCCTTTCTGTTTAGGTGTATGCTGAGAAAGAGCAAGCACAGGGGAATAGAAAAGACAACTTAAGATTTTTTTTCTTTAATTATTTCTATCACCCAGAGTAAAAGGGTACAGGCTACCTGTGACTGACCACACCTGTCAATGAGAGAGAAGCCGCTCAGGGCAATTTCAACAAGGCTAAGTGTAGAAAAATTCCTTGAAATCTCATGAAAGACTGGCCTGGAATTTATCTGGATGATTTATTCATGAGAATGACCTGAGATACCCATTAAAAATATAGATTTCCAGAATCTTATGGCGGTAGTGGGAGAGGAGAACTCGGGATACCTACACTTCCAACAAGTTCTTCAGGGCGGTCTTCTGCCTGCTTACATTGGATTCCAGTCCCGTGGTTCAGACGGAGTAACTGAAACACCACCGCCACAAGGTGGCAGCAGATACAAATTACAGATTCAAACGTCTGGTAGAATCAGAGGTTAAAAGTTTTCAACTAACCAACCACCCAACAGTTACGATGAAATGAGAGCAGTCACCTCTGTTCTCTTTCACAGACATATTTTTGAGTTTTCCAGATTCGCTGAGGTAGAGTTTACATAATTTGGACACTTGAGGACATAGTCGCTTATCATTTTAATTCATTTCTTTGTTAAAAACTGAATTTGAAAATAGACCTTATCTTTTGATTTCAACTATAAACTCTTGCAATATGTAATCAGTTTGTAGAATAAAGGAAACCATATCCACTTATGTAAAATGATCTGTAGGAAGTCCTTCTGTCAGAGAACTGAGAGAGGCAGAATCTTAATAGAGAGAGATTTCTGACAAATAACTACTTTTGTCTGTTGGGGTCTATGATTGTCCCTTAAGGGGAGAATAAGCAAAAGGAATTGGTATCCATGAAGTTTTCTTTTTCTAGTTTCGGAGGATCAAGACATTTTTCACCTATTAAAAAAGATCATTTCCTAAACATGTGAATTAGAATAGACTTAGTTTTGCTGAGCTTAAATTCATTCTGGTTTACCTTCACCAAACAGGAAATAGCCATACAGGGCAGAGTAGGAGCAGAAGTAAGTGTTGCGTTCTTGAATATAACTGGTATTTCATAATGGAGCACGACATCCTAGGCTTGTTTTACTAGGAGTCAGTAAGAACCAAGCATGGTATAACATGACTCTGAAAGTAGGCATCGTGCCACTCAGCCCCAGTGTGGCAACTCCACAAGAAGACAGCTTGGCAATGTTCAAGATGATTTACAAGGACTGTGTGTTTTCCATGGAAAAAAAAATTACATGTATTAACAAGGAGGATGCTCATAAATGAAATGCATGAAAATTACAGGTAGGTAATGAAATATATGAAAATTACAGGTAGGCTATACACAGCTACCTGTTAATTTGATATTCTTGCGGCTTCTGTCAAAAGACATGCTCTAATGGATAGTGCAACAATGCTTTAAAAATTAAAAAAAAATTCAGAAGGTGAGACTCATATAACATGAATGAACCATTTTAAAGCCAACAATTCAGTGTTATGTACTACATTCATGGTGTTTTGCAGTCACCACCTCTAGTTCCAAATAATTTTCTTCACTCCAAAAGAAACTCCATACCTATGAAGCAGTTGGTATGCCATTGTTTTTGAATGCTATATGGAGAGAATTTCAAGAACCTATAGGAGTGTTTACATTGTTGCCAAAACTTTTTTAGGGTGGCTATGTCAGTGGGGAGCAGTTTATAATCAGAGGACTTAAAGAGTCTCACACCATGCCAAGAGTAATTAAACTATGGTCACTAATGTAAAGAATTCAGCTGTGTTTCAGGGATGACCACTGGCTTTGAAGGTAGACACATTCCTTTGAAAACAGAAAAGCCAACAAAAACATGGGCACTGAGTCTGCGGCTTCCTTTATGTGCATTTAATTAGCAAGTAACAGAGTTATTTATGCAAATTGGTGGGAAGACATCCGGACAAGGCCACCAGCTGGAGGTATAAAAAGCCCTGTGTAGGAGGAGACCATCATTCGCCACTTGGGTAACTTGCTCCTCAAAATCTACTCAACTCCTTCTCCACTCCTGCCACCATGACTCGTTACTTCTGCTGCGGAAACTACTTCCCAGGTTATCCTTGCTATGGAACCAACTTCCACGGGACCTTCAGAGACACCCCCTTGAACTGCGTCGTGCCCCTGGGCTCTCCCCTGAACTATGGTTACGGATGCAGTGGCTATAGCTCCCTGGGCAACATCAATGGACTGGGGTGCTGCTATGGCAGCAGCTTTCTGAGGCCTTGGGGCTCCGGCTCTGGCTTCGGCTACAGCACTTACTGATGGATCAATGACTCCAGGCAACTGCAAGACTCTCAATCAATTCTCTGTGCACAGAACCATTTGAAGAACAATGACTGTCTTCCTGCCTCCAGATGTGCTTAAGTGAAACATCTTCCATCTTCTTGGTGATGTCTTTCTTCCCAAGGTCCTCATCTCTGATGACGCTGAACAAACCATCTAGGTGTCAAATGCTAAACTGATGCTCATCTACAGACAAAGAAAGCATGATGTATTTCTCTGACATCCCTGAATTTTAGCAATGAAGCAAGTAGTTTGTGTCTTGTAGTTGCTTTGCTCATGTATTATTAAATTCTACATCAACATCAACGTATTACAATTGGACGTGGGTAGGAAGGGGTTTTGCTGTTAGTCTCTTAATAAATCTATTTCATTCAGCACAAATACTTTTGTTTTGGTTGTTTATTTTACTGTGTTTTTATTTTGAATTCATCAGCCAGTTTCAACCTATAATGGTTGATTTAAACAAATCATAATCTGATTTCAGACTGTGTGCCAGGATAAGATGATGACTACCATTTTTTCCCTTCATGTTGAGATTTCAATTTTTAAAAAGTCCCTAAAAATGTCCTAAATTAAATCCAATTATACCTCACTGGTTATTGTTTCTGTTTGCTGATTATAAGCAGGAACAGTTTTCAGCTCTTGAATGCTAAAAAAAAAAAATTCATCTTTTTTATTAAGGACACAATTCGATTTTGGTTCTTCTCCCTCTTCCTACAGTTTATAAAACTCAGTTCTAGAGGTATTTGAACCCCACAGAACACTGGAAGAATCTCGATGACATGGACTTAGTTATGAATGCTGTTTTTAGAAGTTTCTAAGATTTCATCAATAAAGGGAAGCTAACAGTTCAAATCACATAGTAATTTTTTCTCTTTTTTATAGGTTTCATTTTTCCACCTTCTTCACCTCTGATTATACATATAGGTGTACTAAAAATAAAGCATTTATTCTTTGGAATGATAGTCACCATCAAAAGTACTTGATATGTGGTTTATATTCTTATCTTACTGAGAAATCTCTGTTTTATTGAAGCAAAATACTGTGTTTGAATTAAAGCTCATTCATTCACATACCAAATATTTATTGTACCCCTGTCTGTCTCAGAGAACATACTCAATAATTTTTCATCAACGTGTTGAATCTGTTTTGTGCATTCAAACTATTATATAGCCCAAGGTAAAATGCATTCATGTGTGCATGAAGTATTAGTGGGCTCTGGCCACTGTGTTCACAATTTTGAGGCTGTAAAAACACCTAAGACAGAGACTCTGGCTTGAGAAGCTATTTTCAAGAGATGGTTATTCCACAGATTCTCACCAAGTAGATACAATACCAACCATTGTCCTAAGTTTTGGAGACACAGAAATAAGTAAGACACAAAAATATGTCCTGGTATGTTAAATACACTTCATGTAATATTTAAAGGGCATTTAATAGTCTCCTATTTTAGTGTGCTATAAATGAATATCCAAGATAGACAGATATTCCTTACTCATTACTTATTTCCTTCCAAGGACTCCAAGTAGGAGATAGCCTGTGATAAGATCGATAACCATTTACCTTAACAAGCACATTTTTCCTCATTAAAATGAGGAAATTTAGTATTGATGTATACTATTATCTATCATACTATTACTGCAGTGCACACTCAAATTTTGTCAGTTGTCCCAATAATTTTGTCAGTTGTCTCTTGTGGTTATTTTTCCTCCTAGTCTATACATAATACTATAAACAGTGTTGTAGGCTTGCACAGATGTGAAGTTTGAGTATATAAACATGACCAGGAGAGGGGTGAGTAAGAGTTATATATCAAGACAAATACGGCTGTGCAAAAGGGAAAAAGAATAGGGCTATGAGAGGGTGAAGTGGGCTGTCATTGGCAAAGCTCCAGCACACTGAGAGGATGGCCTCTGGCAGGGACATTCCAGGGCATCAAGTACTGAAAGGGTAACTTAGGATCTCTACCAACTGAAAGAGTTTAGATTCTATCATCACGGCTAATGTATGCTTTCTATTCTAAAGACATAATTATGTTGTGCTTTGCCAAATGTACAATTTTTAAATTTTGATAATTTCAGATTTACAGAAAAGTTGCCATAATAGTGCAAAGTCCTACATGCCATGACTTATTCAATGTTTATATTTTGACCCACTTTATCACTATATACATGTAATACTATGTGCATATGTGTATGTGTATACATATGTGTGTGTGTATATATATATATAATATATGTAATATATATAATATTTACCTAGTGTCAAATCTACTTCAGAGTAAGTTTCAGACATCATTCACATTATCCTAAGATCAAGGACAGTATAACTGTGAAAATTAGGAAATTTAGTGTTGGTATAATACTATTACCTAACCCACAGTGCAAATTCAAATTTAATTAGTGGTCCCAGTAATGTCCTTGGTGGTCATTTCTCTCCCTGGTCCAGGACCCTATCCAGTATCTCATATGTCTTTTTTAGTCTTCTTTAATCTGGATCAGTTCCTAAGCTTTTCTCTGTCCTTCTTGATCTCAACCAATTTGAAGGATGCAGACCAAATATTTTATAGAATGTCCCTTGAGTTGGGTTAGTCTTTTTATCCTCATGATTAGATTTATATTAAGAATTTTTGGTAGAGATGCCATAGAAGTGATACTGTATTATCAGCACATCATATCAAGGGGCATATTTTTCAGTTTATGCAAATTTGGTTGGTATTAAATTTGATTACTTGTCCTTTAGGCTTCTTCAGTGTAAAGTTGCTATTTCCCCTTTTGTCCTTAATTAATATGTGTTGATACTCTGGCACCGTGTAAATATCCTATTCCTTATCAAGCTTTCACCCACTAACTTTAGGATCCATTTACTATTTTTCTTATTTTATAAATCCTTTTATGTTTGTTGGTTGGCATTCCACTGTAAGAAAGAAACATCTCCATTTATTTTTGTGTGCTTATTTATTTGCGTTAATATTTACATCAACATGGACTTGTGGATTCTTACTCAATATGTTATAATCCATTAATATAAGTATTAGTTTTGATGCTTAAATTATCCCAGATTTGGACAGTAGAAATGCCTTCATGCAGACTCCCATGTCCTTTAAAAATCACCCCCATCACTATTTGATCAATTTCTTACTTTCTGGCTCAACAAGATGTTCCAGGCTCATCTTGAACTTTTATGTTCCAATCAGAGAATCAGTCATTTCCCAGGAGCTCTAGATTCTTGGTATTTTCCTTAATGTCATGAGTCCCAAGTCTCTCTGGGAATCTGAAGGGAAGATTGGCTTGTGAGCCGCCTGCTCTCAGAGTTCCTGTGGCGGCTTCCTCTTTTCTATTTTCCCTCAATCTCCTTTCCACCATCCAGAAATTCAGTCAATCTCTCCTCAATCAATATTATCCTTGTAATTCTCTCTGTCATTTTGGCTTCCACCATTTACTACAGTTTAATGGGTTGTGGGGAAAGGGAAGAGAAAATCTGTATAGGTCTGATAGGTCTGTCTGCCATTTTGAACCTAAAAAATATAAACAATTTAAAGAGGGGCAAGAAGGCAGTAAGTACAATAACTTTTCTCTCTCTTGCAGTAACTATGGGGCAGATACCACAAGAGAAAATTTCACTATTCATTTGCATAACAGCTTTTTGAGGCAGGCTTCATTTTCTACCATATTACTGAAAAGGAAATCAATATCAAAAAGTACAATAATTTGAGCAATATCATTTATTTGTAAAGAAAAATACCAAGATATAGCCATCTAGGAGGGTCTGGCTCTAAGTCCATCTCTCTATGCTAACCTAGTTATGTAGCACTTTTAAAGTCATACAACTCTTTCCCAGAAACATTCCTGCTCAATATTCCTCTTATGCCATTAATAATTATACCTTATATATACATAGTCATTTACAGTTTACAAGATATTTCCATAGAATTCTATTTAATTCTTTTCTCAATGAGATAAATTTGACAAATAGCATTATTAGTTTCAGGCACACAAAATGATCCATTTATATATATGGCAAAATAATCACCACAGTTAAGTGTGAATGTCAATCACTGTACATAGCTATAATTTTTTTCTTGTGATGAGAACTTTTAAGATTTACTCTCCTAGCAACTTCCAAATATACAATAGAGTATTATTAACTATAGCCACCATGTTGTACATTACATCCCCAGAACTTATTTATAACTGGAAATTTGTTACCTTTTGACCACCTCCACCCATTTTGCTCACCCTGCAGCCCTCCACTGGCAACCACCAGTCTATTCTCTGCACCTATGAGTTCAGTTTTTGTTTTTTGTTTTGTTTTGTTTTTTCCAGATTCCACATGTAAGTGAGATCATATGGTATTTGTCTTTTTCTGTCTTATTTCACTTATTTCACTCAGCATAATGTTCCATCCATGTTACTGCAAATGACAAGACTTTTTAATTTTTTATGGATGAATAATATTCCAGGGTGTGTGTGTCACATTTCCCTTATTCATCCATGGGTACTTAAGTTGCCTCTATGTCTTTGCTACTGTAAATAATGCTGCAGTGAACACAGGGGTGCTGATATCTTTTCCTGTTCGTGTTCTTTATTTCCTTTAGATATATATCCAGAAGTGGAATTGCTAGATCACAAGATAGTTCCATTTTTCATTTTTTGAGGAACCTCCATACTGTTTTCCATAGTGGCCGTACCAATTTACATTCTCACCAGCAGTGCGCAGGTTGTTCCCTTTCATCCACATGTTTGTCAGCACTGAATTTTGTTTAATTCTAACAAGTATCTTGGGAGATAGGTATCATGAGGAAATTGGTGAAAATTAAGCAATTTTCCCAAGTGGGTAAATATTCACCCAGTGGGAAAACTGAGACTCGAGCCAAGGTATTGAGCTGAGGTCTTCTGATTCCTCTCATACCACTGATAAAGGAGGTGGAACATTAACTATGTGTTTGCTGATTTAACCCTAATTGATGTCATCAAGAC